CTTCTTTAGTTTTGCTTCAAATAGTACTGTTTAGTTTTGCTTTATATATTATTGTTTAGTTTTTTGGGTTTTCTTTATTATTTCACTTTATTTTTGTATTTATTTCTCTATTTATTCTAAACCGCCGCTCGAAATTGTTGTGCAATGCAAAGGAAAAGTTATAGTGATGTACGCCTTTTACTATGGCTCGGTATATCCTAAAAGTAACCGGAAAATAACCCGGTGTAAAAGGTTTTAGCTTTCACTTACCCAGAGAAAAGTTTTAGGAAATCCATCACTCTATTAACAAATTTCTTAAAAATTCTAAAAAATTTTTGTTATAAAACTATAGATCATATACATATGTACATACGTACAAATAAAATTTCCAAATATTTGGAAATGTCATTTGTATGTGTATCTGTGTAAGTTTATATACCTATGTATATATATTTAGGTACATAAATGTATGCATATGTATATATATAGATATGTATATGAAAGCCTCAGCTTTTTGGTATATTTAAATATTTAATATTGTGTTTGATACTAATTGAAAACTAAAGTTCAGCACTCGGATATTACATATAACATCCGGTTACTTGGCTTTATCAACGTACATAATACAGAATTCGAAACCTGGCAAAGCTGCCATTTTTTTTTGAACTGGCAGTGCCAGTAAAACCAAATGATAGAGCAGACAGAGTAAGATGTACATATCGCCACATATTGTATAACCATCTTCTTTTAACATTCATTGGGAATACACATTTTTTTTGTAGTAGTATTGGTTCAGAACTCTAATTTTGTTCAAGTCTTGGTGAATACGTTAGGTGGGTTTTGCTGGGTTACTCCCACTGGCACTGCCAGTTCAAAAAAAATGGCAGCATTGCCAGGTTTCGAATTCTGTATTATGTACGTTGATAAAGCCAAGTAACCGGATGTTATATGTAATATCCGAGTGCTGAACTTTAGTTTTCAATTAGTATCAAACACAATATTAAATATTTAAATATACCAAAAAGCTGAGGCTTTCATATACATATCTATATATATACATATGCATACATTTATGTACCTAAATATATATACATAGGTATATAAACTTACACAGATACACATACAAATGACATTTCCAAATATTTGGAAATTTTATTTGTACGTATGTACATATGTATATGCACTATAGTTTTATAACAAAAATTTTTTTAGAATTTTTAAGAAATTTGTTAATAGAGTGATGGATTTGCTAAAACTTTTCTCTGGGTAAGTGAAAGCTAAAACCTTTTACACCGGGTTATTTTCCGGTTACTTTTAGGATATACCGAGCCATAGTAAAAAGCGTACATCACTATAACTTTTCCTTTGCATTGCGCAACAATTTCGAGCGGCGGTTGTGAAAAACTGAAAAATAGTGGATTTTTAGAATAAATAGAGAAATAAATACAAAAATAAAGTGAAATAATAAAGAAAACCCAAAAAACTAAACAATAATATATAAAGCAAAACTAAACAGTACTATTTGAAGCAAAACTAAAGAAGCGGAATCTGCATCTACACCGGGGACTGCTCCGGCGCATCTGATAGTGCACCTGATACTGCATCAGCCCGTTGGAATCTAGGTACAGAGAAAGGAGTTAGCAGGAAAACAGGCAAGTAAAAATGAAATCCTTTAGAAACGCGTTAAGTGTAGAAAAGAAAAAGTGTGAGGTTAGGGCAGAAAAGTACAGAAAGCTAGAAGAATTTGCAGCAGTAGGTACTGATGAGAGTGAGCCCATAAATGTAGATTTAAACGAAGACAACGAATCTTTGTGGCAGCATGAGGAACAGGAGAATTCGAGTTCTGGGGTAGATATGGAATCTGGTACTAAAGAAAAAGCTGCTGTGATAAGGGCGTGGGCAATCAGAAACAGTGTTTCCCATAGTACTGTGACTGATTTGCTGCAAAGTTCAAAGAAAATAGGTGTTAATGACCTGCCCATTTGTGCCAAAAGCCTTTTTAAGACCAACAAGAGAAAAGTGCAGATCCAGTCCATTCCGAGTGGAGAGTTTATGTATTTCGGAATCGAAAAATATTTTAATAGAAAATCCTGCGACTTTCTTGCGAAAGACAATAAAATTCAAATCGATGTCGGAATTGACGGACTGAGACTTTTTAAAAGTTCCAAAAAAGTTTTGTGGCCGATTTTAGGAGCGATCGTTGGTTATCCCCAGGAAAGTCCTTTTGTCATTGCGTGTTTTGCTGGGACTGAAAAGCCGTGGAACATCAATGACTTCATGAAGGACTTTTGCGAGGAAGTTGCTAAAATTAAAAAGGAAGGACTCAAAGTTGGTTCAAAAGACATTCGAAAAGAATTCGAAGTACGCCTGTTCACCTGTGACTCGCCAGCTCGGGCTTTTGTCACAAGTGTTTTTTCGCATAATGGCAAAAAGGGTTGTCCTAAATGTGACCAAGTAGGAACGTATATTAAAAGACGAGTCAGTTTTTCCAAGCAAATTCATGAGTTGCGAACTGATTCTTCTTTTAAAAACAGGTTGGATGTAAAGCATCATAGCATGCCTTTCAGGGAGCAAAGAAATATACTTGAAAACCATAACTTCGGAATGGTTTCCCGATTTCCCCTTGATCCAATGCACCTTGTGGATTTGGGTGTAACCAAAAAACTTTTACAACTGATTATCAAGAGGGGGAATGTGTCAAGAATGAACGAAAAAATAAATTTCTTGTCTCGATTGGTTCCTTCAGAGTTTGGCCGTGTTTGTAGAGACTTAGATGAATTGGGCAACTGGAAATCACCCGAAATGAGACAATTTCTCCTATATTCAGGAATATTTGTTTTAAAGGATTGCATAGAAGATGATTTGTACTACCATTTCCTACTTTTGCATGCAGGTATTAGATTGCTTTCCTGCGAAAAAACTTTTAAAACTGAATCAAATATTGCCCAAGGGATTCTACAGGAATTCGTGAACTTGTTTGGAAGTACCCACGGAGAGCATTTGATAAGCTTCAACGTTCATGGCTTATTGCATTTGTCCCAGTGTACGAATCAATTTGGACCTTTGGAGAACTTCTCAGCGTATAAATACGAGAATTACATGCAATACCTGAAGAAAATCATAAAAAAGCCAAACAAACTTTTGAACAACTTTATTTCAGAGTTCAAGAATCCTATAGTTCGGATGCTCCTTCAAAAAAGAATTTAAAAATTGGTTCTTTGATGTTAACATAAAAAAGGAAAAGGATTCATATTGTTACAGCGAAAAAACGGGCCCTTTCAAAGCTATATCGATGCAAAGTGTGTCTGGACGGGATGTGGTTCGTGGATATAACTTTCAGCAAATTGAAAGTTATTTCCATGAACCACTGGAATCTGTTCCTGGGTTGGGAATACTTATAGCCCAAAGGCAAAATGATCAAGCAATAACAATTTTCAAAAGCGATATCGACTATAAATATTTCTGTATTCCGCATGAAAATAAATTTCTTTTAATACCAATACTTCACAATCTATTCCACGAGTTCTCAATTTAAAGTGGATAGAATAGTATTTAGTAGTAATTAGATAAAACAATGGTTCCAGTATTTATAAATATGTACATACATACAGTGAACCAAATAAAAACTAAACTAAACTAAAAAAATAGCCAAAATTTGCTAAAATGTCGCGTGAATTTTTTTTTGTTCACTGTACATACATATGTATATTTTATATTGAGCATTTTACTAATACATATTTTGAATTTCCAAGGAAAATGGAGCACGAAATATAATTCATAGACGACGACGTGCTAGAAAATGGTCAACCAGCGATGAGTACACCCAAAGGTAAATTATTTTCAATTAATTCAAACTACATATTTAAATTAACATGTTTTTTTTCAGTGCAAACATTTTCTATTGCAAATAGAAAAGTTTTCCAAGTGGGTACAGCGTATAATATAAGACGTCAAGAAAACAGTGACAACAACAAAGGTATACATACAATTTATTGTTTTTTCCTTTTATAATTTTGGGTGCATTCGAAAACGTCAAAATACAAAGCATCAGCCTTCTTTATTTTTTAACCTCAGCAGATTGTAATGCCAAATGTGCGCAACCACGGTTAGATGCTAATTTTCAATTAGGTTGCGCAAGTTAGACCTATTTTTCTAGTGGGTTTTCGAATGCACCCTTTATCTCTGTACTTAAATACGCTTTTAGATATGGACTTCTTTTAACTTCATTTTACTTTTCAGCAATAACAGATCTTCTGAACGCAATTTTAGAAAACCAGAAAGCAATATTTAATAGGCTAGATACTCTGGAGAAAGCGGTTAATGAAAACGTATTATTTTTATATACCTCCACTTCCACACAAAAAAATCATAACTTTTTTTTTATAAAAAGTTTATTATTTTTGTTACTTTGTAAAAAAAAATCTATGTATGAAAATTTTTCTAGTGGGTGTTTGTATGCATATTGTTATCTTTATACATTAGGTTCTCGATAGAGGTGCTATAATGGCACATCATCAGACGATTCGAGAGTGCAAAGTGGTCTTAACCAAAGTTCGACATTCTGTCGGCCGTTTAACAGGAGAAGTTGAAAATCCTATTGAGTTAGAAATCGCAGCTACATTACCTATATCAACCATTGACGCTGCATTCGACATTGAAGAGAAGTTAACGGCAGGAGACCCATAACAGATACCATCTAAATAAGTTTCAAAGCTTACACAAAGTTCACAAAAATTAATCAAATTTCAATACTTCAAACTTTTTATTCAGAGGGTGTGCGCAACAATCTCAGCAAAAAAATTATAAAAAATCAACCAAAAATTCGGAATAAAAAATGTGAAACTTTGATGAAAATATTTAGAAATTTGAATAATTTTTGTGAACTTTGTGTAAGCTTTGAAACTTATTTATATGGTATCTGTTATGGATCGAACTATATCTTAAATGCAAGTTATTAAAAGTAAATAGATAAACATAAGTTCCAAACAATGTCATTTTGAATTCTGCGTAATTCTTTACAGATGTATTTCAATCTGAAGGACGACCCACCTATGAAAAAATCCTCCGCAAATGTGTCGAGCTGAGCCACAACAGGTGGCGACAGAAGAAATTGTTGGGAAATCGTTCAGTCACCAGCCAGTAAGTTCTCTTTATGGNTCAGCCAGTAAGTTCCCTTTATGGTTTAATTAAAATATTTTGTTACATTATTTAATTTTGTTTTTCATTTTAAATGAACAAACAATAGTCTACTGAATGATGTAAATTGACTGGAGTAATTCGTAACTCTTTTTAATTAAGTATCTATTAAGCACCTATTAAACGTTACATTATATACAGTAAATATACAGCTTTTGTCTAATTATTTTAAAAGCGACATTTTGACTTCCGTTTTTTGTTTATCTAATGTTCATTAATTTTTTCAAAAAAGTCTTTATAACTTATTATCTAACAAAACCCATATAAATCCAAATTTCAATATTTATAAAAATTAGAAATATTCAACAAACTTTATTAAAACTTCAAATTTTTTAATTAGAACTTCTAAAAAAGATTTTGGGTATACAGTTTTATATCGCGTTATATTTTAGTATAATAAAGTGCAAGTGTGAAGTTGCTGAAAACATTCGTTGATTTACCGTAAATCAACGAACATTTTCAGCTACTTCAAACGTGCACTTTATTATACAAAAAAATTTGCAGTTTTTATAAAACTTTGTTGAATCTTTCTAATTTTTATAAAAAGTTCGAAATCTGGATGGGTTTTGTTACCTAATAAGTTACACATACTTTTTAAAAAAAATTAAATAAACAAAAAACAAGTCAAAATGTCGCGTTTAAAATATTTAGACAAAAGGTGTATGTGATTGGTAATTAATAACACATTTCTAAGTAAATACGAAATCTATTTGTGATTACCTGTTTCCGAACTTTTGATTAACAGCCTTATTCTGAATCACGAACGATAGGCAACACGAACGATTCGTCGGCGGAGGAATGCTTCAAAAATTAGTCTGGCGGCATCATTCTAGCCGGTTTAAACGCAACCAAGACCATTGCAACGTAATATATGAAAAGCAAGACGAAGACGACCGATAGAGTATAAAATCGTAATCAGAGATGTTGTCGTCTGCAGACGAATCGTTCGTGTTGCTGTAAGAATTCCTAAATATATATAGAAATACAAAGCATCAGTCTATTTTAACTGCAATAAGCACGTTAAGTCCGCAAGCGGAATATTTTAATCTTCTTTGCCTTAGAAATAAGAGACTTGCGATTTGTATTTTACATTTAGGAATTAGCTTACGTAATTTAATGCAGGCTCTTGGTAGTTACTCATTAAGGAGGGCTGCATTTGAGTTTATTATCCAATAAAATAAAATAATATGTATTAGATTATTATTTTATTTAATATGACATGCATTTGTATAAATGTGATTGGTTGTATTACGTGATATTAAAGAAATTTAATACTTCAATATATTTGGAGTAATGGAGTGAAATAAAAAATGTATATAAAAATATTAACTGTTATTTGTTTTGTTATTTATGCGGTATCTGTACGAATAAGTATAACAGGTAAAAAATACATTTATTACACGCTAATACTACGCAATATTTATGCGATGCCCGATGTTAATTAATTATCACATTATATACCTCTTAACAATAGCAGGTTGGAATGAGACCACAATAGAATAACATAATAGTAAAATTCCATGCAACGAAAAAGGAAAGATGCTCACATGTACAGCAGAGTATCCGTGAGGTTTGTCCTACAGCCCTTCATGAAATGATGGAAAGTTTTTGAATTTCTCACGCATACTTTTTGTAGTACTATGGGCTATATAACTTATAATTTTACAGATACTGTTCTTACTGGGAAGTGAAATGTTGCAATTCATAAATTCATCAGTGTTAAAGAGCTTATTGAAGCTCATTGTTATAAACTTAATAGACATACTTACATATTGCATTACGTATTTTACAGTTTGTCAAATACATATATCACCGGAGTAAAATGTTTAAATTTTCATTGACAGTAGTTTCTTAGGCACCCCGCACATTACGCGCCTAATCATAGTAGTGAATGGTTTCGTCATGCCGAAACGAATGCATGACGACTCGACTTCTGCACACTTTCGCGCCCTGCTATATAAGTCACCAGCTAATAAACACATTCTACATATAACACATTTGCTGGCCGTTCTTTCTTAACTACGACTTCCGCAAATATTTTTGCAGCGAAATATTGCATAAATGCTTGTGGTGTAATACAATTTGTACGAACTTTAGCCCGAAATAGGTTATTTTCAATTACTTCCTATAGAAATGCCAAATAATTTTTATTTCCAACACAAAAAATAACAAACGGCAAACGCCTTACAATGTTGGGCGCTTCAATGCATGAAGCTTTTATGAAACATGACATGAAATGGCGAAAACAGGATTATGAATCGTAATGTACAGAGCTTCATTGAAATACATGTGTTCAGCATAAAAACTTCACACTTTAGAATGCCAAAACGATTACACTACTATGATTAGGCGCTTAATGTGCGGAGCGCCTTAATATACAATGACGACAGAGCATTCGGAAAATAATATTTGATATTGAGTGGTGAAAATAACTATTCGTACAGTATTTTTTCTTATTTTTTACGAAAATAAAGTTCATATTTTAATCATGTAAATTAAATTTTCAAACTTTTTATAAAACTTAAATGAATCCAGCAAATTTCTATGAACATTTTTATTCAGAACTTTTAGTATGCAGGTTTTAGCTCATCAAGTGTCATAAAGTGCAGGTCTCAAGTGCTAAAAGCAGTCTCAATGGCAACACCAGTGTTTCTTCTATACAAAACTATATTTTATGCATGCGTTAAATGCGCAACACCCTTGAGAAAAAATTATAATAAATCAATATTAAATATTAGTAAATTGCACTTTATTTCACTGAAATTGAATAAGCTACAATACTGCATACCTACTCATTTTTTTCTAAAAATTCTGAATAAAAATTTTAAAATTTTAATGAAAATTTGTAGAAATTTTTTTAAGATTTGCAATAAGTTTGAAAATTTAATTCATATGGAATTTGCTAAAATATTACCTATATATTCGTGACAAATTAACGAAAAAAATTGTAATTAAGTAAAAAATTTGGGAATTTTTATTGTAAAACAATTACTGTACGAATAACTATTTTGACTTTGTACATATGTAGTTATATCCCATACATACCCTGTGGGGAAAAGTATCATGATTTTTCAATCTTTTTAGTTCTTCCGTGTGTGCGATTTTAAGTTATTTTGAAAGAAATGTGTTTTCAATTTGAAATTAAATTTGTTTGAAAGATTGTAAGAAATGTACGTTTACATACCTTTAGCTGTAGCTGAGTTTGCAGAGGTGCTCGCTGTTAGATTCCAGACGGTCCCAAGATGTTGAAATGTTAACACACATTTTGGTTTTGTATTACCAAGCTATGAAAAAGCATCTGCGAAGTTTAGAATAGAAGCGTATTTGAACGAAAAAGCCGCCGAACACATATCTATGTAAAGTAAACAAGCCCTTTTTCGATAGTTTTGAACTAGTTCTAAATTCGACAAATAAGATCTAGTTCGTTCTGCATCTCTTTTTCTATAGTTCCGAACCATAAATTCGTCACTTTTTAGATATAGATTTCTAGTGAAAAAAACTGAAAAAATTAGTCGATTTTGGACTGGTGAGGATCTAGCTCCTATCGAACTAGTTCCTTTTTGGCGATAAAGACCTAGTACGGGACTAGAAATTTGATTCACTAGTCCGCGGTTTACCTGCAGGGTATGTAGGTATGTATAAGTAAGCATGTCTATTAAGTTTTAAACAAAGAGCTTTAATAAGTTCTATAACACTGATAAAGTTGTGAACTTCAACTTTTCACTTAATATTAATTTCAAAATTACTTGTACAAGTGCTCTAAAAATTTTTTTTTCATCTAGAGGCGAGCGCCCGCTCGTGGGTGTCACCATAATAAAGTTATAAATTTGGAATTACTTGCTGTTTAAACCTGAAACCTTGACAAAATTTCTTTAGACATTCGTCTATAATGCTGCATTAAAACAAAAGTAGAATTTCAAACTTTATAACACAACTTTTGTATTTGTAAAAACCACCTGAATAATTTTTATAAAAAAGTTAAAAATCCGCAATTTTGCTTTTAACCCTTCAGAGGGTTTGAAAGATACACGAGAGGACGCGCCGCGACAATTTAGCCGCAAGGTGCATCTCAAAGGTTGACTGCATATTTTTTTTTATTTATGTCGAAAAATCATTCAAATAAAATATTTGAATAATTTGTGTTTATACTAAAACATATTATAAGCATTTTTTTTTTTAACTTTTATCCGTCATCGTTGTTGTTTTAGCGGCTACAACAACCCCGCTCAAATCGGTTAGTATCTCAGTCGTTGTCGTCAAGCTCATCTAACGGAAAACCCAAGAAGCGTGCAGCCTCTATAGGGTCTGCCCACAGGGACAGAGGCGTTAGTTGTGCCGGGTTATCCGGTAATACGAAGAGATGTTTCGACTCGTGGGGTGTCTCTCCGCATGTCGGACACTCAGTTAGCACATCTGCATCTAAACTGCTCAGGTAAGAGTTTAACCTGCTGCAGTAACCAGAGCGAAGCTGGTTGTGGTTCTAGTCTCCCGAGGCAGACGAAGCTCCGTCTCGTCGATGTCAGGTGGTTTTGTGCCTAGAACGGCATTCACAGGTCAGGAGTCTACATAAATCGAGACTGCTTCCCTGTGAATGCCGCTCAGGGCCTGTCGGTAAGCTGACGAGTCTAGAGGTTGCTTACTGAACCTCTGTACTTCGTCCGTCAGTTCATATAGAAGCCTTCTGACGTGCCTTGGCGAGGGCTCCTCTGCAAGCAAGTATCTGTTCGGGTGTCCACGTCTGTGGCTTCCTACTAGAATTTGCTTCAGAGCATGTGTTGTGCTCCTTCATGGGGAGCATTTTTGCTTCGTCGTGCAGGTGGTGTTCTGGCGACATCAGAAGACATCCAGTCGCTGTCCGAAGTGCAGTGTTTTGTGTCATCTGCAGGTTCATCCACTGGGTCCTACTAGTCCCCGGCGACCACACTGGTGCTGCGTAATTTAAA